CTTCTAATCTCTTTTTCACTCTTTCTCAATGCATTTCACTTTTTTTTTTTTTTTTTTTTTATGGCCTCCCTTCTCCCCCTTTAGCCATCCTCTCCACACCATTATCATGTTTTTTTTTTGTTTTTGTTTTTTTTTTGGAGAAAAGAAGAAAAAAAGAAAAAAGTGAAATGCATTGAGAAAGAGTGAAAAAGAGATTAGAAGATATGTAAATTATACGTTGAGAAAACACAAGACAGCACACCGGACTTCTCGGCTCCACACCTACAAAACAAAGATAGCAAAACCACAGCAACAAAAATGCATAACTATGTAATTATAATGACTTAAGCCTTGCTGAAAAGGGTTAAGTCAACACTTATTTTCTGATATATGTTTAAGCTATATCCCACAGTCCTGGTATATTTACGGAATAAGATAATTGGCAGTGTATCACTATATGCATCGTATCAGCCACAGACCAGAGATGCACACCCCTGGTGTAAATGCATTATCTGTATTCAACATGTTTGTGTGTGAGTGGGAACTTTCTTATGTGGTGAATTATTAGAAGTTTGCAAGCACCATTCCGGACACTGTTACAATAAGTACTTGCAATGCTTTGATTTAAATTCAGCCCAGCAGAACATAACCTTTTTGGGGGAAAAAAAGACCAGCTCAGTCAGCAGGCTAATAACCACCCTGAGCTGATGAACAGACTGATCGATTTTCTTGACAATGGTCCTAATTTAGCTAAGGCTACGTTGTATTGCAGTTTTCATTTTTGAAGGATGTGTATTTTTGACAATATTGATCGGCCTGTTATATCATAACAACAATCATGAACTTTGAAAACACATATTTGAAAGGTTACTCTCACTTTCAGTAACTGTAATCTGCCCTTTCCATTCTAATATTGGCAGACTTAGTTTACTAACTGTTTGGGAAGAGGACATTTACACTATAGACTCTGACACTATTTGACTGCTTTTGTTGGTCAATGTTTTGTAGTTGAGGAAGGTTTAGTAAACAGTGTTATCTCCTACAGTATTTTTGAAAAAGCAAATGCCCTCCGGTGTGATCTATTTGTGCTGAATTGTTATGTTCGATATTTCCCTGAAAAGTGTTGTAGTCTTTAAAGGTTAATATATTTATCTAACACCACTCATATGCGATGCAGGACAATTGGTTACTCCAGTCTGTGTTGATGCTGGTTCAATCTTGGATCGAGCCGTTGGTTTACCTGCAGATGGCGTTGGATCGCTACGATCATGCTCCTGAGGTGTTGATCAACAAAACAAAGTGGGTGTCGGAGAAAATCATGAGTCTGGAGCAAGGAGTGTTTGTTCTCATCAAGAAGGTATTATTATTAGTATTATCACTGATATTTGTAAACCAAGAAAAACTCAAAAATTGAGATTTAACTTTTATTTTACAAGTAWATTCTTGGTATCAACAGCAGCTTAAAACAGCACTAAAATACAAAGACTTACTTATGACATAAAAACCCCAAGTCAGTTGTTATGTTAAATAGATCGCAATCCTCATTTTTAGTAACAAAGACGTTTAGTCAAAATATTTAAATGGAATTTCTCTGTATCTAAATATGTTGAATTGATTTAAACTTCCTCAGTAAAAATAACAGCAACAAAAAATCTGTTTTGGATAGTTTCAAAGCTGATTCCAGGAATGAGAAGAAACATATATTAAAATGGGGCTTTGGGGTTTGAAGGTTGGGTTAKGTTTGGGGTTAGACTGAGCTGTAAAGGTTAGAATAGTTTGTAAAATCTGTGTTGAGTTGGGAAGTGAGTTTAGATTATAGAGGTCAATGTAAATGTTGGGTTGAACTGGGTAATAGGATTTGTTTGTAAAGGTTACTTTGGGTTTGGGTTCATTTTTGGTTGCAAGGGCTTGTAAAARTTAGAATGTTGGGTTGTAGGATTCAATTGTATGGTTATGTTGGTTTGGGTTGGTGGGTTAGGTCCAAAGAGTTATWCTGGATCAGATACATTCAAGAGGGATATAGGTCTACAGGGAAGGATAGCTACGTAGCTTAGGTTGGAATAGTTATGAGTTGGGTTGGAGGATTTTGCCGTCTTGTGAGACATGGTTTGGGCAGGGTTTTGAAAATAAGGTAATAGCATGTTTTTGTTTGCTATTGCAATGTTTTGTTTTGTTTTTGTTTTTTTTCTGCACAGATGTTGGATGAGGGGATGATGACCACGGCTTACAGTGATCCAGGTGTTTTACAAAATGGTGTTCAACCAGAGGAGCTGGAATCCATTATGAAAGACTACACCTTACTCAGCTGCTTCAAGAAAGATGCCCATAAGATGGAGACTTTCCTCAAGCTACTGAAGTGTCGTCAATCTGACAAATACAACTGTGCATAAAACATAAAGTGCAGCTTTTAAAAAATGCAGTGTTTAGCTTTAAATTAATTCCTGAGGTTGGTAGTGTGCACTTAAAGATAGGACCATGCCTTGGGCAGTTCAGCCTTGCTTGCGATGCAGTGCGTTTCTTATTGATTGTTTTGGAACACCTTCACACAAAACTAAGTAGGTGTAATGCTGTACCCTTTCTCAGCCACGTACTGCATTTTATTTATATATGTTTGTTTGTTGTTGTTTTTTTCTCCCCATGCTTGGTTGTTATTTTAACCTGGCAAAGGCAACGGAAGGCACGGCACAGTCCCAAAAGATTATTTGCGTGTCGAGCTGTCAAAGAAATCTGCATATCCTGCCATTGATTTCCATTTCCTTTGTTCTTAACAGAGTTGGTATTTCTTGCTGGCTCTGGCAGTGTTTTGATTATTCCTCGTGGCCCCCAGAGGATTCATTGAGCCTCACTTGTTAAATGGAGTTGGTTTCACTTCTGCAGAGGAAAATCCAACACTTTTACAAGAGAAGAAAGTCTCAAAGAGCAATCTTTATAAAARAGAAAAGAAAATTTAAGTAAGCTGTTAAATGAAAACCATACTTTCCTCTTATACCTAATTATGTCTAACATGACACACACAAACACATGCACACACACACACACACACGCACACACACACACACACACACACAC